GTCCGCCCGGACTCGCCCCCGCCGCAGCCAACACTTGATGGCCACCTGTGCGCACGCGCGCGGGTTGCCTTGGCCTTGGGCTCTTAACCCACTCGCGTCCTGCGGCGCCTGGCTGAATGCCGGCCCAGACCCGGGGAGTGCTAGCTGTTCCGAGGGCGTTTCAGGGCTGACGGGGGCCGCTAGAATTCTGGGGGGCCAGGGGCAAGGCAAGCACATGGCGCCCACTAAGGTCCCTTGGCCACAGACGCAAGAGCCGCGCATTTGGTGGCTCTGGGACCCCTGCGTGTGGCTGTTGCAGCCAGTGGAAAGTAAGAAGGTCTCATGGGTGGTGGCGGGTAGCGGGGCCCCTCCCGGATGAAAGTATGACCCAGTTATCCTGGTGTGGAACTGCACCTCCCCGGCCTGTAGTGGAAAGTTGGGCTGCGTGCGAAAGGCAGGGCAGAGGAACCCGCAGCCCCGCGAGCTGTCTCCCCAGTCACTGGCAGTTGGAGGAGCGCTCGGACGGCCAGCGCCACCCTCCGCAACCCGCCGGTTTTCACGGATCGAGTCACCCAAGGCTGTCTCCCATCAAGCTGACTTGACAACAATTAAGAAAGTTTTTAATTAGCTTCTTGTTATCATTCATTTTATTAATTTCCAGGACTCTCAGGCCATGAATTATTCAGAGGGCAAGCCAGCCCGAGTGGGGTGGCCGCGCATCCGCGTCGCACGTGCCCGGCTGGACTGCGGCCGTGGTGCGCGCCTGAAATCGCAGAGGCGCGAAGGTTTGATCAAATATTAAATAACGTAATTATTGCGACAAGGCTTATCTCGCAGGTGAAAAAGAGGCCCCCGCGAGAACTTGATTTCAGCTGCCTTTTTTTTTTTAATCAATTAAGCTGGTGGCCTCCTTTGAAACAGCCCACGAGGATTGTGTGGCTCTTCTGATGTCGCAGTGATAGTGATGGCAGAACATTATCCAGTATAATTGTGGTCGTCACCTCCCCTCTGGCCATTAAGACCCTTAGAATAAGGTTAGGAACAGTGGATGTAGCCAGTCAGAGGCTCCAATTTATACTTGAAGTACTAAATAAGGAAAGCCCACCCACTTGCAAGATGGAATAGGGATGTTTGTGCAGGTGACACTTGAGTGGAGAGGCCAGGCGAGAACAGAGGTGAGTCTGAGCCTGGGGCTGGGACTTAGCATCAGAGTCTTGCTCTGGGCTCCTCCTTCCATGAGACCCAAGTGTAAGAACTGAACAACGCCCCCGCCCCACACACACACACTCGCAGTCTTATCACAAGAAAGTAAAAACTGATACAATCACAGCAGTAGGTGCCTACGGTTTATTTAACAAGCTTATAATTGAGAGTGATTTCAGAACACGCATTAGACACAAATCTATCCAGAAGTTAGTTGATGGATGCTGAAGGCATCCTTTCTTAGACCTACAGAAGAAGCAGAACCCTGCGAAGAGTTCGGAAAGCAATTAAAGAGGAAGATAGCATTACTGTGGTGGGTGCATTTAATGCATATTTCTCTCTTTCCCTTACCTGTTCTGCTGCTGCGTGTCTTAAGAATCTAAAATAAAATCCTACCCTCCGAAATGTGTGTTCTTTAGGAGTTCAGCGTCACACTTTTTATTTCCACCTTCTAGCAGGTGCAGCAGGAAATTCCCTGTGTGAATTCCCGACTTTTGGAACCAGAGAACTTTGAAAACCAAAACTACCACAGATTAGCACACCTCTGCCATCTCTTCGGGAGTTTTGTTTTAAACTGAGCTGAGAATTAAAGGAGAGACAGAAGATATCATCTTATCATTCTTTCCTGCCTTATACACATCCACTCACCAGAAAGCAAAACTTTTTTTGTTTTGTTTTGCACAGTTTCCTACTACATAAAATAGGAAACCCTGCAAAGCAATGTGTTTTCATGATGTTTTATTAACATAATAGTCTTTTTTTTTCCCTTTGTACCGGGCAAGGGTTTACTTAATACAAAACAAATGCTTAAATTCTTAATACATACATTATCCATTATTATATAATACAAATGTATTTGCCTGCAACATTTCTGTTTGAGCAGATTATTAGAAAAACAACCTTTGTAAATCTTTTTATTTGTTCATTCCTGGATCTCCAACAATGAAATCTGGTCATACTTTTCTATAAAATAATGTGTTCTTTTACAAATGTATTTTATTAGAAACTCTGGTGATACTTCAAGTCAATAACAGAAACAAATCAATTTTGATGGAAGAGATCTATTTTTAAAAATACCTCTAGTGCTTTTTAAAATATTAACAACTGTTTGAAAATCACACCTTTTTTTAAAATGTACTATTCTCTGGTGAACATCACTTTTCTTTCACAGATATACCGGTGAAATTAAAAAGATTTGGCTGAAATAGGATGACTTCAGAGGATGTAATCCCAGCTACTAAGAAAGTTTGTACATTTTGGCATTTGATCGAGTCCCAGGTCACCAAAAAGAGAATCTTTTCTCAATCTAGAGCAATTGGTGGAATGCAAAAATGTTCTAAGTGAAGAGAAGCATTTGACAAGTTATCTGGACAAATCAAAGGATATTTTTAAAATGTATTAACTGTCAACAAAAAAAAAATATCATTTAGTCACAACATTGCTGGAAATGTTTGTAGAGCAGAGCAGCACATCCACACCGCCCCCCAGATGCCTGTGTCCCTGACCTTCAGCCCAAATGCTTTTCAGGTGCCTGGCTATTTACCACTGTTCCACCACCAGTCCCAATGGAGTGCTGTGGGTTAAGAGTTTCTGTAGTTAAAATTAAAGCACTGATAAAAAAAAAATGGGCAAGTAATTCATTTCACACAGAGCACCAGTTTTCTGAAAGTTACTTCTGAAAAAAAAAAAAAAAATCTCTCTCATCCTTCCACTGCCTTTGATGTCCCTCCCTTTCTTCCTCTTCTTGTTTGTTTTTAATTAGTTTTGGCTAAGGTTTTTTTGTTTGTTTGTTTGGTTTGGTGTTTTTGGTTGTCTTGTCTCGTTTGTTGAACAGCTCTACCAGGACTTGGCTCAATGTAAACAAAAATGCACCCGAATCATAAAACTGCTCTTCTTTCAGTCATGTTTTATTTGTAAGTGTACCGGGACGCATCTCCCTGTTGTATGTTGGCGCACAGAAATGGTTCTGATGGGGGGGGGGCGCGGATAGAGCAGACACAACCAAGGAGCAAGCTTTGCAGACACAACATGGACAGGGACCAGTCGGGGAGACACTGCAGGGTTAACACTGGCAGTTTGGAGCCACTGTGTGAGCCTGTGCACGAAAGGAAATATTTACAATGATGTCGTGTTTTCAGTGGAAACAGGCAGTAGACTGTGAAGTCACACTATCCACAAAACGGCCTACCAGAAAGCTAGCCCAGTTTAGTGCTCAGTTTCAAATGCATAGCATGTTTGTGCTGCAAACAAAGTGCAAACAAAGATACACAAGATAATTAAAACAATGCCCAACCAGAGTGAGACCTAGTGGTATTTCTTTCTGTACCTTTCAAACCATGCATGACTTCAGTCTTGTTAAACAGTAGAGTTCCCCCCTCATCTGTTCTGTTTTTAACTTGTTACCTTTAAATGATAGTCACAAACCATCTCCACATGAGATCCAAATAGTATCTTTCTTGTACACAAAGCAGGCATTTCACCAAGCCATCTTCAACTGTCATTCTCTCTCTCTCTTTAAATCTATCAGCAGCTGGGGTTGTTAGTATGAAATACCATACATGATTTTCTATTTTGGAAACTCATAGTGCAAATTAAAGTTTTTCCAACTCAACATTTATCCCCAGTAATAAATGATCCTTGAATAACAACAAGGAGAACAAGGAAACAACTGTTCTGCTTTGCCCCGGGGAACTGCAGGCCCATTTGAAACCACCAAGGTGAGGGGAGGGCCTGGAAATCTTTAAATATCTTCCTCTCTTCTGGGATTTTTAGTGATTTTTCTTACAGCCAACTTCTGCCCCCAGATGGGAGCAGAGACTTCTCAGCCTTTCAACAACTTCATGTTCTCCAAGACAGAGAGAAGGGGGACCTAGGTCAGCGAGATGAGCCTTATTCAGTGGAGACAACTACAAATGGAGGGAAGTTCCTGTCGTAAGATTTTCCCACCTCACCTTTCCATTGAAATTAATAGCAATGAGTGTCAGCAGATAGCTTGAATCTGAACTGAAAGGCCCTAAGGGGAAGTTCTGCAAGTGGGGGTTGAGAGAAAAAAAAAAAAAAAAAAAAAACATGTATACTTTCAGATAATCTGTTCATGGATACATGAAAAAAAAATGAAAATGAGAAATTATGCTGTGGTTGTTATTCTCATTTAATTATCCCAGAATAAACACTTATTTCAGAGATCTCAATTTCTGTCTTTCCGACTCTCATTGCCTAAAGACCCTCACCTGACCAAGACCAGGCCACAGGTCTTTGACCTTCAGGCTCCTGAAAAAGAAGGCTCACTTTAAACAACTAGCCGGCTTCCCGAGCCCTTTGAGCTAAGCTCCAGCAGAGCCTCCCTGAGCTGGAGCAAAGCCTTGGAATCTCTCTGGAAAAGAAAATAAATCCAAGAGGGTACTGGTGGGTGTAAGACTTTAGAAGGGAAAATTAAACACAGAACAACTAGCTTCCTACTCGAATTTCATGCTCCAGCTTGGATTTCATCTGTGACTCACTTGTGTGCGGAGTTGGGGCGGTGGTAGAAATGGTATTGCTCCTCTCTCTTCCTTTGGGGGTAAACGAAGCTGCAGAATACTGCTCCCCGACTTAAATTCTAACGCATCTCTCTTTGTCCTTCCCCCTCCTTTATTCGTCTAGGGTTTTGTGTTTTGTTTTTGGTGGTGACTGGTAGTTTTGTCTTTGTACATAGTTCCTTGGTCCCCAGATGATTTTGATAAGTGTCTCTGATCAAGACAACGGTCCATCCCCGGTCCTTCCCCCTTCTCTCCCCCCACCCTAGTCCCCAGAACCATCTGCTCCTCCAAACCCCGGGTCTACTCTTTGCTTTTCTTCCCCTCCCCATGCCCTGCTCACCCCAATGCCCCCCAAATCTCTCCTGCCACCCCATCTTTTCTCCACATCCAACATCCCTGTCCTCTAGGCTGGGGATGGTTGGGGCAGGGTGCAGAGTGGGGCTGAGGAGACGGGGAGGAAGGGGACTCCCCAAATGCAGGCAAGATAACGGACACTCTAAATGAGGGGGAGTAGGCCAGAGAAGAAATGCACCCCTCAGCTCCCCGGTCTGCCCCACCCGGCACCTCACACCCTCCTCAGTAAGTGGCGGAGAATTTCATCCGCTTCTGCTTCTGTCTCTGGTTGCAAAACCACACCCGCACCACGTTCTTTTTGAGGTCCAGTTTCTCGGCGATGGCGGCGATCTTCTCCGACGAGGGCCGGGGCTGTACGGCAAAGTAGGCCTCGAGGGAGCGCTTCTCCGGCGCGGCGATGGAAGTCCGCTTGCGCTTCTTCTCGCCGCCGTTGAAGAGCTCGGGCTTGTTCATTTTCTCACGCTGCGCGCCCTCGGCCTCCTCCAGCCACGCCTGCAGGATGGGCTTGAGCGCGATCATGTTGTTGTGCGAGAGCGTGAGCGACTCGAACCTGCAGATGGTGCTCTGGCTGAGCGAGCCCACGCCCGGGATCTTGAGGTTGGCCAGCGCCGAGCCCACGTCGGCCTGCGTCACACCCAGCTTGATGCGCCGCTGCTTGAAGCGCTCGGCGAACGCCTCGAGCTCGCGCGGGTCCGTGTCCGAGTCGCAGATGGACGCCAGGCCCGCCGCGCCCACCACCGCCGCCGCCGCCGACGCGGCTGCCACCTGCCCGGCCGCCGCCGCCGCCGCCGCCGCCGCCGCGCCGTGGTGCGCGGCCGCGGCCACCAGCCCGGGGTGCGGCAGCCCGGACGGCATGTTCATGGCGGCCGCGGCCGCCGGGTGCGACAGGTGGCCCAGGCCGTGCATGTGCGGGTGCGGGTGCGCCGAGCCGCCCAGCAGCCCGCCGCCCGGGCCGCCGCCGCCGCCCGGGCCGCCGCCCCCGCCGCCGCCCCCGGGGCCGCCGCCGCCCGGGCCGCCGCCGCCCCCCGGGCCGCCGCCGCCCCCGGGGCCGTCGTGGGCGCCGCCGCCGCCGCCCGCCGCGCCCGCGCCCCCCGCACCGGCCATGAGCGCGAGCGACGGCGACGAGATGTGGTCCAGCAGATCGCCGGGCTCGAGCGCCTGGTGGTGGTGGTGGTGGTGGTGGTGGTGCGCCAGGGGCACGGTGGACGTGGACGTGCAGGGCACGCTATTCATCGTGTGGTACGTGGCGTCCGGCTTGAAAGGGTGGCTCTTGCCCTGGGACACCGCGATGTCCACGGCCGCCAGCGCCTCGGCCCGCGCCAGCAGCGTCTCGTCCAGGCTGGCGAAGAGGTTGCTCTGCAGCTGCAGGCGACACAAACCAAACCAAAACGAAAAGACAGGGGGGAAAGGCACGCACAAAACAAAACAAAACAGACACACACGCGCGCACACACACACACATACACACGCGCGCCAGAGAGCACGGGCAAAAGGCAAACACAATGCGACCAAAATAACAACAACGTGGGGGTGGGAAGAGCGGGATAAACGGAGGAGAGGGGGACAAGCAGGGGCACACAACGGGGAAGGGGAGGGACGGGGCAGCAGCGAAGGGCGGAGAAGGGGACACGGGGACACATTCCGGGAAAGGGAACGGGAGACGAAAAAAAAAAAAGGGGGCAAAAAGAAGAAAAAAAAGAAGAAGAAGAAGAAGAAGAAGAAGAAATGCAGATGTAACTCGAAGCTAAGGACCCGTGTCACACACCCGAGCGAGCGAGCATAGGACATCGCCTTGTCCCGGCGTGCAATTAACAGAGAAAGTGGAGCAAAGTCGAGCGCCCTGGCCCCAGAGCTGCCCGCTGACGGCAGGCGCTGGACAGAGGCGCAGGCAGCCGGGCGCGACCCCAAGCGCCCCTGGGCACACACGTGCCTCACAGCGGGACCCCTCGAAAGACTCCCGCCCGCCGAAGCGGGACCCGGGGCGGCACACGGCGGGCCCCCGACATGCAGCCCCTCGGAGCGGGGGAGGGGGCGTGCGCGCGGGCCGGGGCCGGGGCCGCGGGTGTGGGGGGCGCTTACCGGCGGAGTGGGCAGGCAGGCCCGCCGGATGGCCTCGGAGCTGGAGTGCAGCGACGGGTACTTGTGCTCAGGGAGGGTGGGATGCATGGCAAAGTGAGGCTGCTTGCTGTTCATGGACATCATCTTGCCGGCTTGGCATGGAAATATCCACAAACACTCGCAAAAGTCCGCCGCAAAGTGCGCGCGCGGCTCGCCCGGCCTCCCTCCCGAGGAGGAGGCTGCGGCCCGGGGCGGCTCGCAGTGGCCTCGCCGCGGGGATGCTGCTGCTGCTGCTGATGCTGCGGATGCGGATGCGGATGCGGATGCGGATGCGGCCGCTGGTGCTGATGCTGCTCCCGCGGCTCGCAGCCTCCGAGCCGACCGCGCAGAGCGCCCGCGCGCAGGTCTCGCGATCCCGCTCCTCCAAGAGCTCTAGCCCAGCGCGCCGACGGGCTGCACTCCTCTTACACCTGAGCCCCACTTCTCGCGGCCGGCCCGGGGAGCTCTCGCGAGAGCTCGCGGCCCCGCCGCGCTGACAGGCATCAGCTGTCTCCTCCGGCTGTCTGGCGCGCGTTCTCCCTCCCTCCCTGGCCGCGGCGCCGTGCTTGGGCGAGCGCGCGCGCGCGCTCTCTCGCTCTCTCTCTGGCTCGCTCGTCGAGCAGCGGCCGGCCGCGCGTGGGAGCCGCTCTTATAGTGACCACCAAGCAAGGACAAGGCAGGTGATGCACCTGTGGCTGGCCAGGCATGCGCACTGCGCGCCTCACCTTTCCGCCAGGGGTCTGCAAAGATCAGAAAGGCCAGCTATTGTCTAAGGGTAGGCATCTTTTGGAGGAAGACAGGGGATGCACGCACTCTTCTGTGTGTGTTTTCCTCCCTCCCTCCCCGTCGCATACCCACAGTATGTGAGCATTATTTAGGCACACCTCCATCATTGGGTGCCTAACAAGCTGTTATATAATGTATACAGAGAGTCATTTGTATGTTAAATTATGCCCGTGCATTCCTCTGTATATGGAGAAAAATAACAACACAGAAATGCGATGTGGAAGATGATGTCTTTATGCTGCAAGAACCTGTTTCTTTCATGGTTTATAAATAGGCTCTTGGAGAATAATAGCCGTGACAGACAGTTGTTTGAAGCAGTCAGACGCTATTGATTTCCACGTAATTTAATTTCTCTGCATACTTTGTTGTTGTTGTTGTGAATATAACTGTGTCAGGCACCACCAGTGACAGTCACTTAGGAGCCACAAGGCGCATGTGCTTTCTACTCAGGAAAGGCTGCTGAAACGAAATCGTGCATTTCTCTTATTGTTTGTCTCCTTTAAGCGTGTACAAACTCACTTTTCAAAGAAGTGCTAGATGATCTGAGGCTTCTAGTCATCAAAAGGGAAAATAGTTAACAGGGTGTAGCCGGGAATCTTTTCCTCTCCGATCACACACACACACACACACACACACACACACACACACACACTCAGGGACGCACTTTTTTCTTTTTCCTGGGAACTCCAGGAAAAGAAAACCACTTCAGAGAAAAGAGAATATGATGTTGAAAGGAGAACTTTCTTTTGCACCGTTTTGGCCCCTAGTGTTTTATATCTGCTTGCTTATATTGTTTTCATTCCCCAGGATACAGATTAAAGCTAAACTATAGGAGATTGCTATTCAAAATAGTAATCCAAACCGGATTGAAGGAACCGGTACCTGTCTGGCCCAACCTTTAATAATAATAATAATAATAATAATAATAATAATAATACTGTGAAATCAGAACTAAGAAGAAAACAATTAACTGACCTGTTACAATACTCTCATTTAGCAAGAAGATCAAGGGCCTCTCAAGGGAACCTCAGCTCGGGTGCCTAAGTCCCTAAGGACATAGTTCTTGCCTAGAGTGATAATGATGGTCCAGATGTTATCACATCTGCTAGCGAGAAAGCCTGAGAGAGGCAAGAAACTGCTTATGGGAAGCAGTGATCAGATAAATAATCTTTCAGGTCACTCACACACCTAGGAGGTCTGCATTTTCACCAAAGGGCAGACTCGCTTCAGCAAACCTAAATCAGCAGTCCAGCACATTTGTTTTCCTTTGCTTTAAAGTGTGTGTGTGTGTGTGTGTGTGTGTGTGTGTGTGTGTGGTGTGTGTGTGTGTGTGTGTGTGTTCAGGATACCGGCTCAGTTATTCAGATTGCAAGAGGAGCCCACAGGCATCGGTCACTGGCTTTTTTCTTTCTTTCCTCCCACCCCTTCCCTTTCTTCTAGCCTGAGAAGGAAGTGAGAAGGATGTTCATTTGCTGGTGCAAGGAGCCACTTCTTCATCCATTATGCGAATCCCCTGGGAGCACTAAATGCAACTTTATCTCAGCAGGAATGGACCAGGAGCAGGCCAGGGCTGGAGGGAAAGAGTGTGAGTCCTATGTCCCTGTCCCACCGGTGTCGGAGCTCAACCTAATCCTTTCTGACACCCCACTGCAGTGAGTCCTTGTGCTCTCTTGTGGGGTATACCCCCCAGCCCCCATCTTAGTACCAAGCTCCAGCAGTCTGGACTCCCATGCCCCGGAGAAATGCTTGCCTCTAGAGACCTTAAATGATGCAGGACAGACTGCAAGGCAAACAGAGTAGGTCTGTTACCAGATGGATTCATGGGGGGGGGGAGTGGAGGGCATGGTGTCCTTACCTACCCCAAGCTAACCTCAGTTCAACCTTTTGACATGACTGGGGTGTGCAGTGTTCTGAAGTCAGGGACCAACCCTCCCAAGACCCCCTTCCTAACTCAACTCTCTTTGGAAACTGGGGTAGTCTTCTTTCTCTGAGTAAGGCCAGACTTCTACCCTATCCTTTTTGTTGGAACTAGAAATATAGACCTGTGGGTCCATCCAATCCAAAGGTTGCCCGTGCCTCATTTGTTTCCACCATGACACTGGTAACAAACAGAGATCTATCAAATAATACTTGTTCTTAGAAGAGAGAAGGGGCCAGGGATGAGAGAAAAATGCAGGGACCAGTGTTCAACAAGCCAAGGCTGATTGGGGATTGCAAGATCTGTGAAGGCAGAGCCTGGAACAGGGTGTGAATGCCTAAGGCAGATGCAGTCTGACTGTTCTTTTTACTGTCCTCTGAACCACCTTCTTGTCTTCCTTCCTTAAGCATTTGCTCAGCCCTGATCTGGAGCCAGTACAAGACACTAGAGATAAAAGGAGCTGTAATTTATGAGTGTCTGATCTCTAGATGTTCATGGTCTAAGAGCATTGGGAAGCAACAGGAAGAGGGTATAGGGGCTATAGATGTAGGATTTGTGATGAGAGATTGATACCCAGAAGTACAAAAGGATGCTTGGAGAGCCATCCTGCCCAAGCCTGCACACGCCAGCTCCACACTACCCCGGAACTCTTCCTTATAGAGGGTAACCGGAAGCAGTGGTAGGGCCTAGGTTCTACCCCCCCCCAAGTCTCACTGCTTTGTGTACCTGACCTGGCAACTTCTGTAACTAGAAGGACCCTGCCTGTGTTTTCGGTGCTCACATGGGGTCTGCAACTTGGCATGGATTCTGGGGCAGTTTCTCCCACCTTCTTGTTTCATGACCAATGCAGATTACCACCCTCTCCCTGTCTAGTACCCAGAGAGGGGTAATGAATGCAGAGCTATTGATTTCCAAGGAATTTCTGCCACCAGGGACCGGGAGTCCATCATTTGCATTAGAGACACATTTCTTTCCCTCATTAATTAATTTTCTCCTCCTCCTTTGGCAGCACCCCTGTACAGAACTGGACAGTACACTGGTTAGTTGGAGTGAGGACACAAGAGGAACCCACCCGAGCAAGGGCCTGCTCAGTCTGGGAAAGAACTCTCTTCCTCTTGGCTCCATCCTTCACCCCCCAGGATGAGCATGACTGCTGCCGCCCATCTGCTTACTAGCGGTTTTTTTTTTTTTTTTTTCTTCCAAAAGGACGCTGGAAATTGAGTTTCCGGTGTAGCCTCCAAAGCCATGGCTGCTCTCCAGGAGGTGAGAGTCTGTGAGCATGGCAAAGCCACGGGAAGAGGGTACTTGTGGTAGCAAGTGTGGCAGGTGTGCTGGGAAGCACGGGGAAGCACAGCTCAAGCAGGCGGTGATCCCCAGACTCAGAATCCGGTATCTGCAGGCACTGCCTAGTTTAAAAGGAGACACCTTTCCAGGCTCAAGGAGAGCCCAGCGTTCATGGCCCCCTCAAAGGCCAGGGACACTAGCTTCAAAGGCCACTCAGCACTGTGTGAAGGACCAGACAGACAAGATGCAGGCCTGAGGTTGAGCTTGAGGAGTCCCTGTGGAGGATGCACTTTGACAGTCCCATGCCTCCTCACTCCAACACTGCACTCTGGAGGATTGGCATGGTCTGAGGGCCCTCTCCCCAGGTACCTGACCTCTTATGACTTCCTCCCTGAGCAACTCAGCCTTTCCAAGGTGTTTGTTCACTTCTTGCCTGTCCAGCCCTGCCCAGGACCTTCCCTGGTGTCCTAGGACCTTGGACAGCGCAGCAACGTTTACCCCCTCCCCTCCCCCGCGCGCCCTGACTAGTGCTGGGCTGTAACCCTGTCCTGCCTGGTCCACCCGGTCTGGTGCACATCTGAGCTGGACCTGCACTAGGACAACCAGGCACATTTCTGGAAGCCACTTCCTTGCTCTCTTCCCCTACCCCTCACACCGGCAGCTTCCCTTGGTCTGCTAGGTCCAGCCCTGAGAGGCATTGGGTCTACCCGGGTCCTTTTCCAAGACTCCTCAATCGGCACTCAGAAAGGACAGTAGATAGGACCAATGTGGGAGGTGTCAAGTAAAACAGTGGCAAAGGCCATGATCTCTCTCTCTCTCTCTCTCTCTCTCTCTCTCTCTCTCTCTCTCTCTTTCTCCTTTTTTTCTCCCAGTCATTTAGGGGAAATACAACTTTTGGGGGCATCTTACTGAAATCTTACTGAATGTGAACACCCCACCAAAAGATGACCTTGCAAGCAGGTTTGGGCATCCTAAGTAAGTTCATTACAGGCCACTCTGACTTTAGCGTTGGCTACATTACATACAGACTTTCATCCATTTCCACCCTAATGTCTCGTCAAACCCACCTACCTTAGGAAACCCTCCCGGAGATCTCGACCCAAGAGAACACCCCTCACGGGTGCTGGGCCTCCCTGCCTGTCAGTCGCCACTGACACTGTCCTTTTGCAGACCAAATGATAACTGCTGTCCGGTTAACAAGGCCTCCGGGCCCTGTGATTTAGGGCCCTGAAGGACAGAGGCTCCCACTGCTCAATCTGCACCCAGCCGGCCGGCTCAAGGCTGGAGGAGCGCGCTGCTCAGGGAAGGAGCATCCAGGTCCCCGGGTTAAAATAACAACGACAAACAAACTCGTCCTCAGGCACGCCGGCCCCTGACCCCTTGCGACACGAAGCAAGTTCTGCCGGCTTCCTGCGTCAGCCACCCGCTGACCGGCTGCTGGGTCCCGGAGACACTCCTGCTTTCGGGGCGCGCTACCGGCCAGGCGAGGACCAGCAGTTCCGCCCAAGGGACTTTCTGAGGAGGGAGAAGGGCGCGCTCCCCACCTCCGCTGTCTCCCCTCGGCCTCCAGAAGCGGGGTCCCTCGAGGGTCTGGAAGCCGTGGAGGAAACCGCAAGGCAGCCAGTCCAAGCCCGGGAGTGCAGAGCTGGGTCCCGCCGCCCGGCTCTACCGCTCGCCGCGCTGCCGCCAGCCGCCCCTCCTTCCCGCCGCCCGCACAAATCAAAGCCCCTTGCGAGGGACTGGGAAATAGTTGCCTTGTCATGTAACACATTGCCCTGATTTATTATAAAATTTTAACGAAATCATGCATATTTTAACAGCCTTTAATCACTGCATGAAAATTTAATTCATGGACTGTAGCGCGTTTAAATAAATGAAGTGTTAATTCATTAGGATTAATTAATTTGTTAAAGGATTGTGTGCAAGGTTAAGGTGGAAAGAAAACTCTTTGTTGGTTTCGCGTCTTAATCGCCAGGTTTCGAGTGGTAATAAAATGAAAGGAAACCACAGAACCGGCTGGTGGAATGAGGCCTGGGAAGGACCAGCTAAGAGCGCCCTCAAGAGCGCGGGAAACTTGGGCTGGAGGGATCCGATGGTGGGTCCTCCCTAGTGACTGGGAAGGGGAGGGCTCGGGCAGAGGGGAAGCTGGCAGAAATCCCAGATGGCTGAGCTCCTGGGGTGAGTGATGGGGAAAAGGGCTGAGCTCCTGCTGTTAGCGGGCCAGACTCCACCTCCTCGCCCTAAACGCTCGGATGACCTTCTCTGAGCCCTCAGAGGGCCAAGCTTTGGCTTAATGGACGGCAGATAGCGCGCCTCACCATCTCCAAAGCTTTCCTGCGCCTAGGGAGCCTCTGTCTCGTCACCAGGCCGCCGGTTTAGGCAGCTGGAGCGAGACCCAGAGTCTCTGGGGGGACTCTGAAGAGGAGGAGCAAAGCTCCATTTGAAAGCTGTGGCTGGAGCAATACCGGAAACCCTTTGTCGTTAGGAGCCTTGGCTTCAGTACCTCTTCCAAGAAGGATGCTAAAAGACATTTCCCCTTCAGACAAGCAGGAGTGGCCCTCTTCTGCCACGAACTATTATTTAGGGGAAAACACCTCTGTGAAGGTTCCACACATCCTGGCCGCCCACCTATATTGTAAGAATCAAATAGGACCATATTCCACCCTCTCTCCTCACAGGAGTTTGGGTAAATGCCCGGGGCAAATCTTTGCCCTTTGGAGAAAGGGTCTTTGTACCCTAACTAACACAAAAAGCCCTGAGCTCTATACAAAAGTTTAATCCAACCAACCTTTATTAGAGACAGCCTGCTGCTCCCTATCATAAGACCCAAGAGCTTATCTGAAAAAGAGAAACAGCAACTCAATGTGTTCTAGACTGCCACAGCCAGGCCAGACTGAGCTCACCCTAGCTGTGCTCCAGATGGATTCTTAACTCTGAACCTTAATAGACGCTTCCTCGCCATGAGTAGGGTTCCGAGAATTAGGCAATAAATGTTCACTCTGCACTCTGAGATCATTGCTTAAAAGGTTTTCTCTCTGCCAAGTATTATTAGGGGGATCGGGTTACACAGTGATAGGCAAGAGCTGCTTTGTAGGACTCCACAGACAGGAATGAAGACCTTCTGTGAGGCCATGGGAAACTCTTCTAGTCTAACAGGCTGCACACCATGAACTGTTGATTTCAATTTGATACCCTCTGCACATACCATCCACAGGTACAGAATGAGGGAGAAAATCCCCTGATGAGCTATAATTTTAATAACTAGAAATCATCAGGTCTGCAGAAACATTATGGTCCTGAAACATAACACAGCCCAAGACCAAGTCTGTGCCTTTGTTTCAACCCAAGGACAATGCAGATTAGAACCAGGGGGCTGTAAAGCTTAGTCCTGTTTTCTCTCTCTCTCTCTCTCTCTCTCTCTCTCTCTCTCTCTCTCTCTCTCTGTGTGTGTGTGTGTGTGTGTGTTAGCTAATTCAATAAATCTTTTAACTTGTAAATGGGATGAAGATTTTTAATTAAGAGGATTATACTTTCATAACAAGAAGCCTCTAATGCATAGTTTAGAGAACTATGTAGACACAGCTTTTAGGCGAGATTAACAATCAAAAACTGTTCCATATCAAGTGTATCTGGACAAGTGTTATCTTTTTCCAACATAGGCAGCTGAAGTAAAGAGAATAGGGAAAGCCCAGTTCATAAATGCCAGTTAATGTGAACCCTTAAAAGCCCTGTGTACTAAGCAAGTGTGCCAGCAGACGTCCTACTGTAAACCTTCAAGTTTAACAGTGGTATATACAAGCTGCACTCAACCTTAGTGTAGATTACACTCAGGGAAACAGGCACACAGGTACGAATACTCCCAACACACTTTCAAAAGAACCCTTGGGAAATTTCAAACACACTACCTTCTTTTGTTTGTTTTGTTTTTTGCTACCAATGTGGATAAGAAAGATAATCGTCCCTGCATCTGGACGTCCAGCTCCAAGCCACGGTTCCCTACCATTCGAGACCTGTGGCCACTAACTCTGCTTGCCTTTCCATAAACTGGAAGTTCTGAAAGACGATTATATGAAATGGAGGCTAGAAAAATATTTGGCTTCAAGTGTCTTAGCTTTTGTTTGTTTGTTTTAGTCTCCTGTACCTGTAGACAGCCTTTCACTTGTTATATAGATATGGATGGCTTTGAACTTAAAAGACTACTTCTATGTGTATGGTTGCTTTGTCTGTGTTTGTGGACCACGTGCAAACCTGATGCCCCCAGAATTGTCTGGGTGCTGGGAATAGGAACGGAGATTTTCTGAGATCAACTACTATTCTTGAGCACTGAACCATCTCTCCTGCTGCCTTTGAACTGTGATCATCTAGTTCTTACCTGGATTCCGACAGCTGGAGTCCACGTAGGACTTATGCAGTAACAGGGAAGCAACACAGGCCTGGCCCCTGGGCATGCCAGGAGAGCATCACAACCCAAGCCACATCCCCAACCCTTCAGTGGTGTTTTGTTTGCAGTGGACATAGTAAGCTCATTTGAAAGATCTGTGACACAACCGTCTGTTATGAAATCAGATACTGAAAGTAAGGGAGATAAGAGTGATTCTAGTCAAATCCTTTGCAATTGTCCCCTTCAGCTGGGGAATAGAATGGTTTTAATTATACGCAAATGTAATACACATTGTTTTAGAGAGGATGGAAGGGTGCTTTTGAAGGTAAGCAGTTAAGAAATATTCTGGCCCAAGAAAGGCACACTCACCCAGGCTATTATTGGTAAACTAGGCTACAAATTTCACTTCCACGGCATAATGATGGTATGCAAATTGATTAAAAAGACACATTCTTGATGATAATTCCTTTGTCTTGGAATTTCAGAATTGAAGGCATCAGAAGTGTTGATATGGGCCTGTTCTCTACTGCAAAGATAGCTGCTATCAGCTCAAGTTCACTGTACATTGCTTGCTAAGTCATTAACACCACTCCTTTATGACATAATCACTTTCAGGTGGTCCCAGCTCTTCCTATTACCTTGGGATTAGGTTCCAATGTATGTAATGTGGGGGACATTTAGACTACTGCACTCACATTTACCATTAACAAAAATCCCCTTAATTTCTGCATGAATTCTAAATGTATAACTAACTGTATCATCAAACATGTTCAAGCTGCCACTAGCTCTGAAAATATCCATTAGTTTTACCATGGCAAAAAATGAATTATTGGAAAACGTGTATGATAAAACAAATACTATCCTGTTAGCTTTTCTCCCCCTTGATTATTGTTACTTCTAAAAGTGGAGAACATGAGTCTCTAGACCATAAAAGTGATTTGTTGTATTTTTTATGGTTTCATTGAATCCTCTGAGTCTATTATAACAAGGGTCAGCAAATTCTTAAGGAAAAGGGCAGACAGTACATATTTTAGGCTTTTCAAGCCAGTCACTGTTGCAAATATTCCATTCCCTTGTTACTATCAGGCACCGGCGCAGACACAGTGCAGCTTCAATCTAGTAAGCTTTTATTTGGAAACACAATTTTAATTTCAGGTGATTTTCTTGTGGCATGGACACTTTTTAATAAAAAATGTGGGAACACTATAAAACTTTTTTTTTTTTTTTTGCTTTGCTCATAGACCTTTCACAAACAGGTACACATAAGGCTGCATTTTAGAAGTCCAGCACTGGCCTTGTGTCCACATGGTCCTGTGTTCTAGCCCCTGCACTACACACACACACACACACACACACACACACACACACACACACACACACGCACACAGGCACATACTGTCCTAAGTCCATAGTATGTGAGGTCTTTAGAGGTTAATTCATTATCTGAGATGACATCAAAGACATGTAATGCATATGGCATCCTTTATTCAATTCACATAAAAAAATCATGCAGTGTTAAGGTAAGACAATACAAGTAAAATGTTCAGTGCACATTAGATAAGTTATTAGCACACAGACTTATTTTTACAGCCTATATGGGTGTAACAGATATGTTTAAAACAATGTACTTTTTAAAGGCTAAACTAAAAGTTGTGCTTAGCTCTTACATATCCCCATTCCCACTTGTTACTTTTCACAAAAAAAAAAACAAAAACAAACAAACAAACAAACAAAAAAACCCCTACATAATTGATATTCTACTAGCCAGTAGGAACTTCTTTCTCCTCCAGATGGAGAATGGAGCAAGCAAAAGGGCTCCCATGCTTACAGTGCCCACAGTGAGCAGTAACATGCAAACAAGAACTTTATCCCATAAAAGGCTTCCTGTGACACAATGGATAAACACCTAACAGACTGCTTCTCTACCTACACATCTGGAAAACAAAGCTGGGATGCTCAAGTTCCTCCCAACCCAACTGCCCATGCTTGTCTTCCAATACATAACAATTTCCAACTTCAAGCACACATGCACACACACACAGATGGGCAGATATAAACTACTACAAAAAAATAAGTTCTTTCATACTAGCAGAGCATTCATTTTCTCTCTCTCTCTCTCTCTCTCTCTCTCTCTCTCTCTCTCTCTCTCTCTCTCTCACACACACACACACACACACACACACACACGACAGAACCCAATGAACAACTATGTAAAACCTAAGAAAATGTCAATGAAAACTCCCAGGTCAGAGTGCCATTTCTCCTGCATGGCCTTGCATAAAAATTAGGCCATCAAGAAACATAAATAAAAAAGGACATACAAAAATCATTTCCACTCTAGGAATAGCTTTACAGAAAGCGCTTTAAGAAATAAGTTCTGAAGAGAGTTAACAGGCCACCATATCTAACAGTTATATAAGATATATGAAAACAACATAAAGTCAATCCAGATACACATAACATTCATTTAAAACAAAGTAATAACCAATACAGAGACAGATGAACCCCTCCCCCTAACCTCTCTGGTAAGAAAGGCCAATGAAAGCAAAAGTCCCTTCAAGATGAAGTGCCCTGGGCACAGGGCACCCACCTCTCTGACTTGACACTTTACTGAAGATTACCAGTTCGGGATCGTATAGAACCTTCACGAAGTGACAGCAGCAGCAATAAAAGCGTCCACACCCCTTTCAGGACAAAGCCAGGGGGTGTCTCTGGTGAGTCAGCTTTTAGTTGCTTTGGACGGGCTGGCGTTGGAGAGGCCGCTCTGTATCTTCCTTTTTGTTGACTGATTCACATTCTTACTCCTCTTTTCGGGGACAAAGGAAGTAGACCACGGAGACTGCAGGTGGCTGTGAAGGCTCTGTATCTCTGAGGACATCTTAAATAAAGAGGACCCAAACCTTTGATCTTCAAATAGTCCATGGGAACCACTTAACAGAGCACCCTGGGAAAACTCTGTCTGAAACAGACAGCTCTGGGGTTTGATTTCACTAGCTCCTGAATTACAAGTGGGATGCAGAGAAAAATCTTCACTCATCTCCTGGTCAGATGGAGAGAGGAGAAAAAAAGAAGTGGGTTTCCACTCACCTCCATTTTCTAACTGATCAGTAGTGAGAGCACTTTTGGAAAGATTCAGTTTAGTTCCTTCTTCCAACTTGTCAGACTCCTCAAGAAACTCACTGCCTCGAGGGGACTTTGAGGACCCCTCCAACTCCACTGATTTATAACCGTTACTACAAGGGCTCTTGCTATTGTCCGATTCCGACATCATGGAATCCAGCTCAGAGATTTTGTCCAGATAAGCAGCATCCATGGATGCTTCGCTGGATGTTCTTGTCCGGTTCATTTCAAGAGAGCGAATACAATTTAGTCTCTTGGACAAGCATGATCCTGACCTCTCACTCAATTTTGAAGGTATTTCCCCAACAGAATTTGCTATCGTGTTTCCCTGTGAACTGTCAAACTCCAAGCTTTGGGCATAGCTTGTGGAACAACAATCCCAAAACCCTGTCTTTGGGGAAGCAAAGCGGTCTGATTTCTTTTCATTCTCATTTCCGTTCATATCACCCTCGGCGTTGTTATTACCGGCATTTGGAGAGTCACAAAACTCGTCAAACACCAGTTTTCTCAGATGGTTCGCATGCTGTTTGGAACTGCCTGCTTTGGTTACGGAGCTCTCCCTGGTTTCTGGAGTATTGAGCTGAAGGCAGCTAAGGGACAGAGGAGTGCAAGGAGCCGGAAGGTCATAGAGCTCTTCCTCTTTGAAGGGCGCACAGTCACTTGGCTTACTGCCCCACTCTCCTTCTAAGTAAGCGTCCATGGGTGTCTCTCGCATCCCCAGCAGCATCTCTGTGGGCTTGGGGTACCTGTCTTTGTTCTTGGGGCAGTTTGGTTCCGCCTTGCTGGTGCCATCGGTGAGTCTGCCACGAGGTGTTGTCACGTGAGAGGCTGTAGTAGCGGTGGCTGAGCCAGCCTGCTTCCTGGCACTGTCACTCTGATTCTTTGATGTCACAACCTCCTCACTGCCTTTGGGTCCCTTGCCATCCACAGAGGGTGCTCTCTGGCAAAGGGCATCCATGTCTTCCTTCGCCTCATCTGAGTGTTTCAGTTGTGCTACCTGAGATTCTAACTCCTCTATGTATTTATCACTTCGCTCGAGAGCTTTCTTGAGACGATTGGTTTCACGTTCATACTGTTCTACTTTGGACTGAAGAGCAGCAACTGTAAACCTTCCAAACCTGCAAAGAATAGATGGATGGTTACTGATATAGCTCGGGTTGTTTTCTTTGCAAAACTTAAACACAAACTGTCCAAGCTCACTTATCAGTGACAGTTCCAATCATGTAACGGTGACATTTCAAAACACTAAAAAGGACAAAGGCAAAGCTAGGGTAGTACCTTGAAAGGCGATAGCACTTACATAATGTGTAATATTAAACACATAACAGAAAAAAATCTAATAAGACATTTTAGTGGTAAAGTCAGACTAATATTGAGACAAAGGCAGAAATCCGCTGATGACTTCCTTTCCAAGAGCTAGCTATCAATCCAACTCACATATGCATGAAGAGTTATCCCCTAAAACAATGGCAAAGATTTATGATAACATTTGAACAGTGGTCCACATCTTGAAATATTTACATTCAATCATTTTCCTATCGTACAGCAGTGTTTTACAATACATTTCTTATACAATGTCACCTTGTCAAACATAAAATGTCAATTTGAAATTCAGAAATCCTGGACGTCTCAGGAGGGGAGGTTTTAAATACTTATTTGGGCCCTTTCAATTACAGTCACTGTTGATATGAAGCTTTTTCTTGGCCTTTCTCAACACTAGGCTTTAATTCATTTCAGCTCTCCTTATTTTCGGCATTTTACAACTGTGTAGGACATCAATCTCATTTCTTCCAACTTTGAAATACGAAGTCAGTGCTGGTGGTTCCAGTATACTACGCATAAAAACAATTTATACTTTCTGAAGGGGAATATTTGACAGGAACTAGAAAGAACTTCAAAAATTCACTCTTTGCCCAGTACTAACTTTTTTCCATTATTCCATCCAGAATGGGTACTGGGTTCAGTTGGGAAAACAATTTCAGCAATTAGTACAGGTTAGGGGTACATCTGGGGCTCGAGGCATGGACTGAGTAAGATTATTGCAGCTCGAAAACACATTAAATGCCTAAGTTAATCTATCTGATGAAGGGGGAGAAATCTTAAAGGAATCTGCTTGCATAGGAGACCATGAAAAACGTCTTAACTTCTTAAAGTTCTTCAGAGATTTAGCCATCTTCCTGATAACTTACATCTAATCCATCGCTAAGAATTTGGGAGCTGTCTGTTTGCAGGAAGGTATTTGAGACAGTATCTTCTAAAAACTACTGTCTTTTTCTCCCCTTTCTTCCTAGTTACAAAAGTAATTGCAACTAAGGAAATGTATCCACATTCTATCCTAGGAAAGAACACAAGGAACCAAGAGACATTGTACCATGCTCTAGATAGCCATCCAATGCCTGTCACCTCCTAAACCCCTGGCCCAGTTTCTCTACAGCATAGCCTGACAGGATCTCTGCTCTCTTGCTACTGACAGAAAAAAGCAAGAGCAAAGGTAAATATAGAATCATCACATCTCAGGATAGAAAGGGCTTTAAAAGACCCGATTGCTGAATATTGATCTGCTCACTGCAATTAACTCAACTCCCAGAGCACACTGCCCTCAACTTCTAAAACGCAAGACAACAGCAAGAGATATAATAAAAACAAAAACTAAAGGAGCAAACCTTCATCTGAAGACAAAGTTTGCTACTATAAGCATCTGGTTAAGCAATAACAGAAGTTTTTCTTTGTTAAAATTTATTTTGGCTTCTAAGTATAGTCCATATGCAGAGCTGTAGATCTGCAAGAGAATGTTAGAAAGGTGGGCAGAGATTGTGGAGTGCATTCTGCAAACATGTTTGTGAGTTTCTGATTGAAACTGTTCTGTCATAATCAACCTGCATGTTTTTAAATGGAAAAATTGTGAAACATGTTTATTTAATACAAAGAGCAAAATGTGACAACATTACATTTACTCCAAGAGATTCATTTTTAAATTCAGACTTTATAATGGATCTTCATGTAAAAAAGAGCAAATGATTTAATATCAAATAATGCTACTAGATAGTACATTGGATGCTACCAAAGGATGTCAATGGGAACTAGTGGCAAATAAAGAATGCTTCTAAATGTGTGTGGTATATACATGTATGTGTGTATGTACAGAGGCCAAAGAACATCGGATGTCCTTTGTCCCCTTCTGTCTTATTGGCTAAGGTAGGGTCTCTCACTGAACCTAGAGCGTGCTGTATTCTGGCTAGACTGGCCAACAAGTTCCAGTGGTCCTCCGTCCCTGTTTCCATCAGCAGTACATGTGCCCAGGCAAAGCTTGTTATGTGTGCTGGGAATCCATATTCAGATCGCCATGTTTACTTACTGAGCATCTCCCTAGCCCTACTCAATTATGATTTTTAAAGACGTATAAAGGTTCCGAGATGAAGTCAGTGATATTCCTAGTCATATTTTTTTTTTTTTTTTTGTATTGTATTTTGGAGAGCAAAGCTGAACTGCCATGGGAATTAACAGACATCAGCATGCATATGCATATATATCTGAATGTAAGAGAACTGGCTCCACCCCTTGCTCATTGCTGCAAGGGGTGGACTAGCCAGGGCAATGCTGGAGAGCTCACCCTAGTGGTGAAGACGGAGAGTGGTGGGCTGATCACCTTTCCAGGCCCAGAACCAGGGTTATGTGTTGATGTCCAAGAAGAGTCCCTGCGAGGGCCCACCTTCGATGGTGTAACAGAGACCAGGGGCCTCTAACCGGACCAAGGGTTCTTTGCAATGAGTGCTTACGTATAAAGGGACATGGAAAACATGTTTTGTGACTCGTTTTGTCACATTGTGGCTTTTTTTGACAAGATTTCCCATTTCTCCTCCACCCCCACATCTTTTTTTCTATTAAATTTTGTTTTAGTATTTGGAGGGTTGCATGGGCAGGGCGTGGACACAAGGAGATAAGGAGTTGGGTGGGATCAGGATGCATGATTTGAAAAACACAAAGGATAAATAAAAACAAAGTTAAAAAAAAAAGACTCACAAGAAGCTTCTCCCCCACCCCCACTGCCCCCCAAAAAGGACAGGCAAAGCATAACTCATTAAAACAGTTAGGCTGTTTCCTAAAAGCTCAATGATCTCAGAACCCCAAAGTTCCATTGTAACACTTCACAAACACAATACTGAGTGATGAGAATTGTTCTAAACATGCCAATGGGAAAACTGACAGAAATGTATAGTCAAAGCCACGGGAGCTGACTTGCCTTCTGGCTCCTCTATTACAGTCAATGAGCTGGGGTATAGGAGGCCTCTCCATCTACATTCACTGCTAGGCTTTCAGAAGAATCCCTTCTTAAACATCTCATGTAAGCATCAGTCTCCTACATTAAGCTACATTAGTCCATTAAGGCAGAGCCAACACTATAGGAGGAATAAGCTAAATCCTCTGCCCTTTTATGTGTAAATATTATGATACTCATCATATTAGTACACTAAATATATTTCATACATGTGACTTCCTTTTTCATTGTAGCCTTTCATTGCAGATGTTGTGCAGCCTTTTAATTAGACTTAACATTCTTACAGCCTCATCCAGAGACCGTCCCTTTTCACCTGAGTACAAGAGAATTTTTGACACAGGGGTCAGGAAAGTTTTTTTTTGGTTCCAAGACACTTCCATTAAATTTGGCAAAAGACACATTCTCATACAGAAATAACTAAGCAGAGACATATAATGGCAAAATTCCACAAAATAAGACAATGAACACAATGGCTTATTTATCTTTTGGTTTTAATATTCTTTTATTCCTACTAATTCCAGATATTTCCAGAGTGCATAACATTAAATGAAGCAATGCCAAGGCAAGCCAGAGGGATTTGTAAGTATCATTTAACATTACTTCCTTTTCCTGAGCAAATTTCAAAATGGTGCATTTCTATAAACATTCCATTAGAGACCAAAAAGCTTTGATTTTCAAAGTAGCAGTGGTGGCCAAAGGCTTCATTATGCCAGAAAAACACTGTGGACAGCTTGGGAACTGATATTGGAAATGCATTTTGCCAGAATCCAGAGATGCTTACAGGAGTTCTGAGCCTGCCAATGTTAACTGCAGTGTATGTTCTGGGTGAGAGGAAAGGATACAGATGCAAAAGCCTGTTCCTGTCCCAACTAGAATACAGAGAAATGAAAGTCTTATTAATTTGACTTTTTTTTTGAACATTATTTTTTCCTTTTAAAGTTACTTACTGAGAATTTCCTATATGAGTATTTATATCATTCTTCCCATCCAACTCTTCCCAAGTACCCCCGATTCCTAAAATCCATGGCTTCTTGGCCTTTATTTATCAGTTACATGCGTGCCTAAATTTGTAAGCACAACCTACTGCAATCATTCAGTGTTCTCATGTGTTTAGGGCTGACCTCTTTGGATGAGCTAATTTACAGGTGCATGTTCTCCCTCTCCCAGAAGCCTTCAACTGCTTGCAGTTCTTATATTTCTCGAGACCAGGTCCTGTGAGAAATCTTCCTTCCATGTGGGCATTTCAATAGGTGCTGTCTACTTTTAAAGTCTTATTTAGACAACCATATTGCTGAGATTTCAGAGTGTATCTTCTGTGTGGAACACAGATGCATTTCAGTATCTATGCAATTATAGTTGTGGAACTTTGGCCTTTCTCATTGTCAACCACAATTAAAGGACTAAATACAATAAGCATGGGGGATTTGCAACTTCAGAAAGGCGTTCTTCCTCCAAGATTGTTTTTATCGCTTTCTTACTGTGTGTATGCATCACCATGTGTGCATGTATGCATATGTATGCACATGCACATGTGCTCCCCATGAATGTGGGAGTCAGCTCTCTCCTTCCATGCAGGTTCAGGTGCCTCAGACTCAGGTTGTAAGGCGTGGCAGCAGTGCACATGGCATTCCTGAAAACCTTTTGCAAATGTGTAGCAGAATCAGTCATCAGGCAAGGCACCACCTTGCTTGTAGGAGCAGACAGAATCTTTGACTTCCTGTGTTTTCCTGATCTGCTAACTGAGGCAGCAGAAACAAAGAGAAAGCACTCCGAGTCTGGACCGGATTTTGTGCTCTGGCTTATCTGACACATTTCAGTGCTGTTTCAAAGTCTATTTAAAAA